CAAGGTACAAAGAGGACCTTGCTAAAAAACGCTTTCAGGAAACAATGGTTGCATTGTAAAAACTAGATGTTTTAATCTGCACTGATGATCACGGGTACTTGTCACGACAGAAAAGGTTTATGATATTGACATTTGATAGATAGAAGGGCAACGCAGGGGAGCACCGACATTTACACGAGACTATTCTAAGCCTCGCGCCGATGAAAAGGAACGCCGTCGCCCTCTGCGACATCTGGGAGGTCAGTGTTGATCGAGCACAGATCCTTGCATTTCCTACCTGCCTCCAATCGCCACCTCGGCTGGCGAGCTGGGAGCAGCGGCAAATGGCGTAATCTAAGAAGTCTCGCGCCAGATCCTTTTAATTGTTGCATTCGGATGGCACGAGGAGCCTATCGGCGCCGCGCAAACAACGCGGTACACTACTCTGCCTTAACAACAGCCATCACACCCGATCCTCCAGCGCAGATACGTTGGTGATCGGATACTCTGACGTCAAGAGACCATAAGTGGTGGACGAGCGGTAGTCTCTGCTGACCTCCGACGTGTTTGAGAGAGCGTCAGGAGGGATGGTTAGGAGTGTCCTGGCATTTTTAGCAGACTGCTGAACGGAGGGCTGGTTAGGCGAGTGTTGTTTTTTCAAATCGGCTCCCATGACGTGCAAAATAGCAGGGATTATGTCTCGGCAGCATTGCGGCAGTCACTGACGCCATTGAGAGAACAGGCTACGGGCGCTCTGAAGGCGAGAAAGCGCGGCAGATTAATGCTTACATTCCAGACCTTTGTGATGTGTATGAAACTCATTTTTTGAACTGGCACTCCCTTTGAAATAGTGCAACCAGTTTGGAATCAGACCTGGGGAGCACCACTCAAAAAGCCGCCTGAATGCTAGTATGGAAAGTTTTTGCTAGCATTTTGTGTTGTAAGAGTAGGATGAGAAATGCTTGTTATGCAAACAGGCATCAGCATAATATCTGGCTCATGCACTGGAATGGGGAAAACAAAAATATGAGGAAAAAATCGCTGCGAAAGTAGTTTTATGCCAAATTGAGAGAAAAAAACATACAAGCGGAGGCATATCGTTTGTGTAGCTCGTGCCGAACCTTTAGGAATAATAAGGAACGATTTCACGTCTCCTGTTATAGAGAGCACATTGATGTCTGCATCAACGAGATATGGATAAATGTCAGGTTTTTGGAGACAGCCTCAGTTCAATGACTATGATTGCTTCTTTGTACCAGCGTAAATCTGTAACCAGTGGAATTTACATCTATGTCAAGAGGTTTTTGCTTCCGGTTTTGGTTGGCGGGGCTGGCTTATCGGAAATGTAATAATCCGTTTGGTTGGGCCTAGAAATGTATACGGCCAATATAATCAGGTTAGGTATTATGTTTAGATGGCCCGGTCCAGCTCATGCAACGGACGCTCTAATGGGCCAATAAATGCGCCAAGTCTTTAATCCCTCAAAAGTTGCCAGGAATTCAAATTCGAATTCATGTTAACTTTGTCAAATGACGAGCGAGTCCTTGGATTCTTTTAAATCGAACTTTCTGTTTTAACCAGCTGGCCAGCGTACTTGGGGTTCTGAAATTCTGGACTTTGTTTTTACAAGTGGTCGTAAAGCCATTCAAATTTATTTTTTGACGAGCCTCTTAAAATCAGTAATTACAACAGCATAATATTCAATGCGGACACAAAGAAAATGGACCTTTCGATTTGCACATACCTATAATTTCAGCAAAGAGATTATGAGTGCTTTCGAATGCATTTAAGAGGGTTTGGCTAGGAAAAGCAGTTACGGAATAATCCTTTTTTAAATTTGAGGTAGTTCAAAAACGTCAGTGCTCGAAAAATAACGCCAATTTATCCTGAGCTGAGAAAGCTGATCAAAGCCAGCAAGTCCAGCTAGTTAACCCGTTGTGTCAGGCCATTGGGGAAATAAGGCGTTTATTTAAAGGGACGAAGCAAGACGTAATTGTTAAAGTTTTGAGAAATACACAGAACAAAATATTTGGTGAAAGACTAACGTGAAAGGAAAGGAGATTAGCTGATCTTAGGTTTGTGCACGATTGAGGACATTATACAAACAGTTTTTGAAGCTTGTATCACGTCAGTTTAGGTAGCAACCTTCTTCTGGGTCCCCTTTCTCTCAATGTCCACTTAGTTTGTGGTCTTTATCTCATGTTTGAAAAACTTAGCATACAATTTACATCGGTACTTACCAATGCAAGGGAATTCAAAGGCAATGCCATGGCCATCACGTATTTTCCTGATATCGATGAAACAAATGATTTAGTAAAAAAAACTGTGCGAAATATAAGTAATAATGCGTCTAGTCGCAATGGCCTACACCATCTGCCATGAGCGCAGCTTGTGAGAAGGCGGCTATGCTACCATCATGTATTTTCAGATGGTCCCTGGATTCCGGCGATTTTCCTTATAACTAAAAGGCTGAGAAGTGGCAAAGAGCGGTGTGCTCCCAGAATCTGTTTTCGATGCATCTTTATTCATAGCATTTGTGAATCCCGTTGAAGGCGGTCTTTCTAAACAAACTCCTTAGTTTTTAGATGGCATGTAGCTGATGAGGGTCGCTGAAGCCTCTAAAAACTGAGCACACCTTCAAAGTGACACAAATTATTTGGTGAAATGATCATAGGCATGCCAGCTTTTCACTGACTGCGAAAAATGATTTTTTTTCTTTTTGTGGGCGCTTTTTGTCGAAGAGCCTATCTTCTTTGCCCCTAATTCGCCATCGCAGTCAATGACGGATTAGGAGCAAAGAAGATAGGCTCTTGGCGCTAAATGGAGCTTTTTCTGTGTAGCTGTGGATTGTTCTTGCGCTTCACTATTCAAGCTTTATTGTCCAAATATGCTTACTAGTAAACAGGAAAGAGGGTTTGCTAGCTTTGACTTGGAAAGAAAATGTGACAAATCTGGCGCATGTTCCTTCAAATAGTCATCATTTGTGTTGTGACACAGGTGTGGCAATGCGCCGCGTTATCAAAGGGCAGTGCACCCCCGTGGAAGTCGCAGCTGGCCTTACCCCATGAAACCATCAGGCCTGCCAGACGAGAAATTATCACTTCTTAAGTTTGTGAAGTAGCTCTGCACCAACGAAGCTCTGAAGTAGCCCTGCAATAAAAGTATGGTGGGAGCATGCATTTGTTAGTCTGGGGATATTTCCGCGCATTATGCTATCTTCCTTAAGGTTCACACAAAAGTCATAATGTTATAGCTGGTATCGAATGCTACTAAAAAGAAGTTACGCACCACCATGGTGGCGTGCGTGGGATTCAGATCAGGAAGGACCAATAAGAATTGAGGTGGTTGTTGGAAGTCAGGTGATTCCATGCGCAGAGCAGAGAGATATATCTTCCCGCAGAATATCGCCCCGACGATTCACGTCGACTCCTAATGTCTGCCCGTGTTTCGTCCTCTTTATTTTACATCCACGGATTTTGGCTGGTCTTGAAAGTTGATCTGGCTTTACCTCTGGCTCATAGGTGTCTCCAAAGATATTTTAGGATTTGGGGCAAGCCAACCTCCGCAGACATGACCTCTATGCCTTCTTTATGAAATGGAGGCAGAGCAGAAAGCGCGCGTGCAAATTTTAATAAGTCGCAGGGCGGAGGGTGCGCTTGGCATCAGTGCAGGGGGGCTGTCAGAAAGAATGCGTTCTAACATCTCTGCATATTTTGTTAATTTTAGACGCTAAAAACCCCGACTATGCATTTATAGAGTATTATTCGCCTTCAGGAAATCCATTAAGCTTGCTGATGATGCTTTTTGAATGGTACGCTTACGCGACTTATTCCAAAGATGTGATGCTTTTAATCAAGTTAATGAAATGTTTTGTCCTCCCCTACCCCATGAAGTGCTTATTTTGTTCATCTGTACAATCTCACGCGGAATACTGTTACCAAGCCTCAAGCGCCCAGTCCGCCTGAGATTCGAATGATAAAGAAGGGGTCCAAGGCCAACTACTATCATGGTGAAAGGGCTAATGAATTAGGTTTACCAATCCAGATCAAAATCCTTTGATTAGCACCCCCTTCGATATCGACGGCTGATAAGCGACATGACTTACGTGCACTGGATGAATCACGTCTTGGGTACGACCATTAACAGCACGCTTTTTAACATTGTTTTGAACCAAGAATGAATCCTCCACAGTCAATAATGGGTCTTCTTCGAGTCAGAATGGGCTCTCTACAGTCAATAATTATTTTCTGCAGGCCAGAATGGACACTGCATTTAATACTAGGCTCTTTACACGCCTGAATGGGCACTGTGTATATTAGAAGGGACCCTCCAAAGTCGGTAATAGGCCTTCCACAGGCCAAAATGAGCCCGCTTCAGGACAGGATGAGCCGTCCACGGGCCATAATGATAGCGAATAGAGTCCATAATGGCTTTCTGCCAGCCTGAATGGGCCCCTCTTCAGGCCAGAATGAGCCCTGCACAGGTCAGATTCGGCCCGAGGATCCCTCGATATTGGCTGTCGAGGGCCCCTCGACAACCAATGTAATTTATTGATTGACTGACCTGACTCACCTTCTTCAGGTCATAATGGGCTCTCTGCGGGCTCAGAAGTGCCCTCATTTGGTCAGAATGGATCCCGAATTGGTCAGAATGAGCCCTCCGCAGGTCAGAATGAACTTTTAAAGGCTACATATTCCCTTTACGGTTCAGAATTGGCCATTAACACATCAGAATGCGCCATCCACAGGCCCTCCAAGTTGGGAGGGGGAAGGCAGAGCTGCTCCTCTGTTCCCTCCCCCGGTTCCCGCGTCCTTGGATATGGCACATCCAACCTGGAGTAGGGTGGCATTGAAGTCCAAAACTAGGATGAGAATTTGTTCGCCTTCATTCATGCCGTGCCACTGCTACCAAGCATTGTTATATAATGTTGTGTCAATCATTGTCAACTTTTTCCGTCCTCCAAACCGAGATGCTGTTTCCATGTAGGCTAGTAACCAAGCTGAGAGAATGTACAGAACATGTCAGCCTTCAGGTGTAATTAGAAATGAGCCCAAACATTTTGCAAAATGGTAAAACGGGGACAGAGAATGTCATGATTTTATCGCAGATGAACAGCGAGCAATTTTCACACAGATATAGCACCTAGTAAAACAGGCGGCGGTAGGGGAACGCCGAATGCATAGTGCTATAGGCGTAAGAGGCGCCCTCAGGGCCGAACGTGCCCTGGAGCGTGAAGCGAGGACTCGAGGCAGCGTACGACTGAGGGTAGATTCCGAGAGCAGCCGCGTTGTACAGGCGGGCGTGCTCAGCCTTGGCGGCGACCACCTCGGGTGTGTCGCTGACGGGCAGAGGAGCGCTGCGCCTCCCGCGGGAAGCATTGGCAGCCTTGACGGCGGCAGCAGCCTCGGCGTACAGCTTGCGGAACTCAGCCCTGGCGGCCTTCACATCAGCCGTGTCCTCGACGGGGGCAGGTCCCACCAGGGTGTTGACGGGCGCCTTCAGGTCGGCGACGGGAGCCACGGGCAGGTTGGTGCCCTGCGCACGGAAGCCGGCCGAGTCCGCCACGTAGTTGACCGTCTGGGTCAGGCCGTTGGGATCCACGTAGCTGTACGAGCCAAGGGTGGCGCCATAGGCGTTCTTGCTCTCCGTCTTGGTGCTCAGGCCGTCGGCGTAGCCGTAGCTGTAGTCCCCGCGTCTGCTCAGGGAGTAGTGCTGAGAGCTGACACCGGCCGGCGCGGCGTAGGCTGTGTAGGGAGCAGCAGCGTAGGTGGTGTAGGGGGCACCAGGGTAGGTGGAGTAGGGGGTAGCAAAGTTGTTCCAGTATCCGGCGGCGTGCGGGTATCCCGAGTAGCCCAGTCCGCTGTAGGGCAGGGCGTACTGGGCAGCCGCAACGGCCAGGACAGCGAAAACAACCACCTGCAAATGAAAAATGGATATTAAATTTGAAAGTTAAATGAGGCCATCGGGCGTAGTTTTGGGAAAAGGCCTGGCGCTAGATGTTGTCAGATGATTTATTGGAAGTTGTTTGCCACTGACGGGGACAACAACAATTATTGCTCCTGACAGTGGCGTTATTTTGAATGCAGCGTTTCGGACAACTGCTTTTGCTGTTTTGAATTCCCTTCCAAAGACCATCGCCAGGTGCTTGAAAAACAAGTCTGACCTAAATTTGGGCTAGATATTTATCATTATTAAAACGAGACTCTCAACACACTTGGTCAACGAAGACGACCAAATTATGATCGACTTATAGCAGATCCAATTGACACCTCTTAAGAAACATAGAAACAGTCATTGAAAATTTTGGGCAAAAATAATGCGCTGACTGAAAAAACAGTTTGATACTTTTTACAATTAAGGTTTTATTTGTAAACGCAAAAGATAGACGGACGATGACAACTTGAACATATTTGTATTTTGACAAACTCGTGTGGAGTTTTAGGACCATATATATGTGCTAAGCACAGGAGCATTCTGAGACACATTCAAGCACATTAACACCATCTTACCCTTTACAAAAGCCATATTTCAGCACACAAAGAGTTGGAATTTTTGAAGTGCGCGCACACCGGGCATTTTTGCCATAGGCAACACACAAACCAGTTTGGAGCAATTTGGGACCCTGTTATCGCTGTTTCTTTGCTGGTGCCAGTATCATTGGAGGCAGGCTGATTTATAATTTATCACAGCTAACCGAAAATTGGGAAAACTTAGGTGAGTATATAACGCATGAACATAGGAAGGATACAATATGCAAAGAGTTATACAATAGGTACACTCACCAGGACTTTCATGGCTGAACTCACTGGTGTATGTGATGGTCTGTCCAGTTTGGCGACCGCTTTTATACTGCGATGATCAGCCATGAAAAGAGCTTGACCACGCCCACAGCCACTATCTGGGCGCTGTTATCGTCCCAAGGTCCTGTTGGTTGGGCCGGCTTGGGCGGCCCACGAAGGATACCAGTTTGGCCGGTTATTAACTTACCTAGTCAGATCTGCCAACGGGTGTAGCACCAGCAAGGCGATTTGATACGGTTATGGCTCCAATTTTGCTGAAAATTAGTATCAGGACGGTTGACTGATGTATAAAATGTACATAAAAACATAAATCCCCCTGACCTATGGGTGGCTAGATATTCCCCGAGACGTTTTCATTACTGGAGTTCACATTGGCACGTTTTTAGCGCCTTACCGCCAATAATCATACACGGAATATTATTATCGTATCTGTTTGGAAACATTTTCACAACGGAATTTAAAGATTGCATTCACCTGAGTCAGTCTAGACAAAGGTCATCTCGTGACCTAGGCTGAAGCTCATCGTTCCGATGTCGAAAAAAAATGTTTGCTCTTACCCCTTAAACTTTCAAGAAAACACCTCTTGTATGCCTCCTTTCCAAAACACAAATGATATTCGAGGGAACGAGGGTCTGAAGATGCTTCCTATCGCTCAAAACAATACACCCTTTCACTCGTTCACTCGTTCACAGGGCAATCGGACGTCATCAAAATGGCACGTTTCCATGCCAATTTTCATGAGGATGTAATGCACTGCTAATTGCTCCAATTTGTTTGCAAATTGGTGCCAGCAGTAATTTGCTGCGTTTCATCTAACAAGCACTGTATCAACGTTGTCTATCCTACGGGCCACAAGATATATATATATATATATATATATATATATATATATATATATATATATATATATATATGGACAAATGGCGAGCTGTAGTTGGAAAAGACTGGTTATAGCTGACTGGAAAATACTTTGTAGACTTGTAGTTGTAAAATATTTGTAATTGGAGAAGACTGTAGTTAGTAGCTGACTTTTGTACTGTAGCAAACTATCCAAAGTTTCTCGGTCATGGCCGTTAACTTGGATTTTTATGATAAAAAACAGATACTAGGAGTAGTTTTCTGTATGCAAAAATCTTAAACGTCCCTTGCTTAGAGATGTGACCCGCAATAGCACGGGCCAGGCCAGTCTGGGGCCATGGCTTGCTTCGCGGTCCTCTAATGTCCTCACGTGCTGTTTGCCATAAGATGAACCGAGCAAGTTTACTCGGCAAACGTTCCAAAGTCTTTGTAGTTGTAGTAAGGTTATGAAGTGCTGGGGTGGATGCAAATCTGTAAATCTACCCCACCCCTCGGAAGTTTGCCAGAATAGTTTTGGGACAGTGATGAGAAGCCACGTGAAACTTCGCACATCTGTCGGCAATTTAATAGCCGATCCTTTGATATGAATTGGATAGATCTCGCAAGGTCGCTCACATTTAGCAGGTCGAAGTCAGACCATCACTGTCAACGAAGGTAACTCCTAGGGAATCGTTCCTTTTGATACAAGAACGAATAGTTAGATGAAGTCGTACAGTTTTGAAGTGGTTCCCTAGGCAGATAGACTATTGAAATCAAAATTACAGTTGATCTCATTGGGTTTGACCTTGGTTAGTTACCTTGGTTTAGATAGGAAAGTGAGATCAGGATCAAAACCTATCTTCTTTATTACTTGAGAACTTGTCATCTAGGGGCTAGTTTTGGACGTGGATTTCGAATTTTGTATTCCAGTATCGCAAGTATTCGATGGTTTGGGGTTACTCTTGCATTCGAAAGGTCAAAGTAGGTCACTGGCCCAATATGAGTAGCAGCAGCTTTTTGCCTACAAGAGGTAGCTAGGTTACAGGCAGTTGCGTGAGGAGGTCACTTCGGATACCGATCTGGAATTTTAACTGTTTGATCTTATTTAGGCCGACAGTCGCGGCGTATGGATCTTAAAATTTACGCATCAATGAGTTCATATCAAGCTCTGCCTATGCTGTGGGTTTGGTACATCTAGCCCTCTTATTATTCGAGATTTCAGCGGTCAGATTGACTTTCACACCCAAGCGCGTTGTGTGTACTCAGCCACACGGGTGTGTGTTAATGAGATTCATGTTATGTGTTGTCCCGCTTCCCACTTCAGTTCGTCCAAATGACAAAATGAAAGAAAAGGCTACCATGCGCTTGGGTGGGGGTCAAATTGACCGCCCAACGGTTTTTCCGGAATGGTTTCCGAGCGGCACGGCGTAGCGACGCCAAATTTTGCATAGCTGTAGACGGTTGAATAGTGGATTATTTGACACCGAAAATTTACATGTACCTTGTAAGGTCACGGGCCTATGACAAGTCAAAGTCAGGCAATGGTTCAGCGAAGTCAATTTCTAGCGAATCGTTCAATCTGATACAACAACGGAGTGTTAGACGAGGTCACACATCTCTGGGATGCTTTCTTAGGCAACACAAAAATTTAATGAGCAGATAAAATTGACTTAAGCTCAGGCATTAAGGTCAGATCAAGGTCAAAACCAACCCGTTTTTTTCATTTTAGGGCTCGATGTATGGGGTAGTTCTTGATACTCATTTCAAATTTATTGATAGTAGGAACCGCATTATACATCTTCCATCGACCTCTTAGAGGTCAGAATAGGTCATTGACCTAAAATTACCCAGGGCAACATTTTGTTTTTATGAACATACTGCCTGGCGTAATTTTTGTCGCTTATTCAAATGCAAAATTAAGAGCAGCCTTGAAGGATTCTGCTCATCATGACCTTCAAAAGGTCCAACGACGGTCACTGACCTTAAATGAGGATGTGAACTTTTGCTTAAAGAAGTTTTCTAGGTTCTGGGGTCACTTTGGAGACCAGCCTGGAATTTGACCTTCTTTGACCTTATCTGACCCAAAGGTTATTACCTAAAAACCTCAAACTGTGACCTAGATATGTTGGCGCACAGGTCAACACACCCTGAAAATTTGGTGTTTGTAGCTCTTTTAGTTCCTGAGATCCCAGCAGGGGTCAAATTACCCCCCCCCCCCCCCCGCCCCGAGTGAAGGGTATCCAGCCGGCCACCCGAGCGCATATTAATGTCTTAGGCCGCCAGAATGCTAGCTAGACATTGTTACCCTCAGACATTAATTTTGTTTTGAAACGAAAACATACAAAAGGTGTTATCTGCTAAACAAAAGTTTAAGAAGGAATATTATGCGAAGTTAAAACGACGATCTTTCTAGATTTAATCCGAACGTTTTAAATAAATAGGTATCTGGAACCAGACCTCACACTAATTTACGCTTGTGAGAGCCCTGACCCCTATCATCCAATGGCGCAATTTCAGGTTAAGTGCAGAATTTGGTGACGAGAGTTTAGCGCACTGCAACGCTTCACACCGCCCGCCCTGCCCTCTGACGTTACCCTGCCTTTGGTTCTGCCACCGCCACCGGCCGCAGGCCATGTCTGTTGTCTGTGAAGGATAAATAGCGAGCGCCTAAGACGACTCGAACCTACCCCGCCACGCTCTAACTAACTGAGCCATCTAGACGTCTAGGGCGTCTAGATGACCTTTGATGTAGGTCACCAGATCAATTTTTTTCTAAATTGGCCTGGGTGTGCTTTGCTTGTTCATTTCTATTGTTCAAAATCTGACATCTTTAAAAAATACACCGATAATATTCCGCTTGTTATTTTGGGCGATACGGCACTACGTACATCAATGTCAACGCCCGTTACGAAAATCCGGGGGGCATATCCTGTGACCCATAAGTCAGAGCAGCCTGATATTGTGCCAGGTGGGTTTTACCCATCAGATTACCGCTGGTACCAGCCTTCAGGGAAATCTGAAACATGACCTTGTTAGTCGGCTGCGCTGGTTGGCAGACCACATCAACTTTGCGACACAGCAGACCAACATCCGCACAAATGGGGAAACGTAGCATTTGCACTTGTTTACACTTCTCACTGACTCAGAACAACTAACAACGTCATACGAAAACAATTTCCGTTTCGATTTTGCATCGCGCCTCCCGGATGTTGATTATCCTTCAGAGATACTTTCCAGATCAGGGTCAGAGCGCCCAAGCACTCTTCTGTGGTCGCTGACTGTGGCTGTTAAGACGGACGGTGTCATTGACGCTGACTGTGCCTGTTCAGATGGACGGTGTCATTGATGCTGGCTGTGCCTGTTCAGATGAACGGTGTCATTGATGCTGGCTGTGCCTGTTCAGACGGACGGTGTCGTTGACTCTGACTGGCTGAGGTTTTTGCATGCGTTTCCTTTCCTTCGACATACCAGTTTTTCATGAAGCAGTTAGGGGTAAAAGACATTGACAAAAGCGAATTGATATCGACGGGGTCGTGTACAACCGAGTACCATCAGATTAAATCTACATCGACCTTTGGTTGTAACGATAACATGAGCCCATAAAGTCATGACCCTGCTGCTACCCCGCCCTCAAATTTGGTTTTAAGTTATTTTGGTAGCCGCGAGCACGTACGCCCCTGATTCATCTATAATATCAGTGATGCCTTTTCTTGGCATGGGATAAGCGGCGAAAGAACAAACGTGACCGTCTGCCGCGGCGTAGACAGCAGCACAGTGAATGGAGACTATCGGCTTTGGAAGCCAATGTAACAGCTTTCGTCAGGGCAATGCATATTATATCCTGCGCCCGGCCGGGGGTCTAAGACAGCCATGTCCGGCCGGGGGGCTGAGACAACCAAACCACGCCCTGCCGGGGGTCTAAGACAGCCACGTCCGGCCGGGGGTCTAAGACAGCCACGTCCGGCCGGGGGTCTGAGACAACCACGTCCGGCCGGGGGTCTGAGACAGCCACGTCCGGCCGGGGGTCTGAGACAACCACGCCCGGCCGAGGGGTCTAAGACAACCACGTCCGGCCGGGGGTCTGAGGCAACAACGTCCGGCCGGGGGTCTAAGACAACCACGCCCGGCCGGGGGTCTGAGGCAACAACGTCCGGCTGGGGGTCT